TACTGTCATTACAGGACTCAAAACCAAATTGCTTTCAGCTGCCCACCGCAACTGCATCTTATTAGCCTTTTCAGGAAAGCCAATTTATGCAAATCCAGTGTTAGTTAAATAATTAAACTGACCCTCAACATTCATGTATAGACATCATTTGGTACTAAAAGATGCAAAAGATATTTAAAAAGAGATTGTGAACTGGTGTGCTTTTATAATTATGCTTTTCTTTACCAGGACGTATTTATACTGAATTTTAAAATTTAGGAGCTATAAACCACAATCAGCTACTTTCAGCTTTTGACTAAATCACCACGGATGAAATCTGGCTGCCTGATCCCACAGCTCAGTCCCTTTCAATGCAGACCTTCCTCCGCTGCAGTTACTACAGTTTTATCCCCTGAAGCTGGACAGAGGAAGATTCAGATCCAGAGGCATGGTTGTTCATGGGGATCCAGCAATGTTGGGATACACAGGAGAGCAGAAGTGTGAGGAGATAGTGAATTATAGCCACTTTTCAATACTGACTGCTGACCCATACACTGCTGGACTAGAGCTTCCCTGCAGCCTGACTAGGCAACACAGGCAAAGATGTTATATTCCCACTCTGCAGTCCTGAATGAGCACTGTCTGGAAAGGAAGAATTGAAGGAAAAAATATTAACAAATAAGACAGGAAAATATTTGGGTAGGCCTGCAGTATTCACCTCTCCTGACATAAACTAGCAAATACAAAAAAAAAAAAAAAAAAAAAAAAAAGTATTTTTGCCTAATGATTCTGTGTTTCTGAGCATCCCTGCTCAGAAGCGAGCGGCTCTTCAGCAACCAGCACTTTCTGCCATTATCCTGGCGACTGCCATTATTCCAGCCTGGTTTGTTTTACAGGGCTGAGCTGACCCAAATGACAACATGGGCTCTTCGGCAAGCTGAGCTTAAATGGCCAGAAAGGAAGAATTGAGCCTACTGCAATTGAAATTCAGGCTGGCTCRGATGCTTGTGGAGCAGCAACACAAATAAAGACCATTTTTTGTTTTGCTCCGGTGAATTGTCAAAGAGATTTAGAAAGTCAGGGGATCTCATTATGGTAATACAGGTTAAATGCTTTAAAAGCATATGGTGTTACCATCCTGAATGAAGCTGTCCCTGCCGGCTGGGGGAACCACACAATAGGTCAGAAATACATCTCGTGTCGCTGGTCCACCAATGGGGACTGGGGCTTATGCACTACCAGAGGAGACCTCTGTGCTATCTGGTATCAGGTAATGCCTTGTCTTTCCAATTATCATTTGACTCACCCTTCTCCGGAGGAACAAGCTCTATGCCGTACATTTCCCTGGCCAAAGGGGAAAAAAAAAGCAGCTCTAGAGTTTCTCCTGGTCTGTTCTTTATAAAATAATGTAAGCAAAGATGGGTGAAAGCACAGCTTCTACAGAGATGCTTCCTGACCATTGTAAAAAATAAATAAATAAAAATAAAAATAAAAATAAAAATAAAAATAAAAATAAAAATAAAAATAAAAAAATAAAAATAAAAATAAAAAATAAAAATAAAAATTCACACAAAAAAAATGTGGTGAAAATCTTCAGGCTCAGAATAAAAATATCCTGTTTAATCACAAAGCTTTAAAGTAATTTGATTATGGCCAGATTTCTTTCTTTTCTCCCCTTCTAATTCACTGCTGACATCTTTCTTTTTTTGTGCAGAATGGAACTCCTTACTATATTTGTACTTATTTTCTCCATTTGGGAGCATTCTGCAAACTGAGCTTGGTAACTTCAAACCTCAGCTGTTTCCCCACGCCCCGAGCTGATGCATTGTCTGGTGCATTGTCCATGACAATGACATAATTTAGCCCACAAAGACCCTATTAATAGCCTGGGTCTGATGCGATTATCTAGGTTTTCAGAAACACAAGCCAGGTTACTGGTATCTCAGACAGTGTTTGGGTTTGTAGGCAGACGCACTGCAGACAGGCAGCAGACAGGACCTACAACATTGTAGATATGGTAGAAATTGTCCAGGATACATCAGCCCCCATAGTGTCCCCTGCCCTTCCYGAGGCAGCAGGTGAGCTCTAACAAATGATGATGGAGCCAGTTAAGAAGCCTTTTGCTCCTCTTCTTTACCCACCTGCCTGGAATTGCTGCTTCCAACACTGTTACAGGGTAAGGCATATCCATGTGTTAGCCCCTCCAGGGCAAAGCCCAGGCTCTTTACTTTCCAAAAGCAAAGAAAAGGTGGCCTTAATTCAGTGGGTGCATTGTTGGGGCGGAAACTCCTGGCAAGCAAGTGGATGAGGCAGCAGAAGGTGATAATTTCTGATATTTTCACAGCAGGATTTGGCACAGCTTGTTTGTTGGAGCGCTCTATTTTATACTCTGCTCTACCTTGAACAAATGGAGCTTGGGAGTATTTGGAAGGAAGGAGCAGACAGAAGACATAGTGCTAGAAATTCTCTCCATATCACTGAGATTTTGGAGTTGGATGGTTTCTTGTTCAATCTTTAAATTTATGTGTCTTCTAATAAATTCCAATATTATACATAAATGTATAAAATATACTAAAAATGGAACCATCCCTTAGGTGTCAGTTAGAGGCCAACTACTTAAAAATATTCCTCTTTTGCAGTTTCCTCATGAAGACTCATATAATTTAAAATATTTACAGTGAAAATGCACAGCCACTCATTCAAGCTGGAGCCATTCAAATGAGCTGGCCTGTTCACACCCCAGAATTCAGATTCTCTACAGTGCAGTACTGAGCAAGGACCACACGCCTCCTAGCAGAGCGGTGTGTGCACTCTCATGTTCTCATGTACACCCTAGTTTTCCACATTTGGATACTGAGGACTAATATATTTCTGAGAAAAGGCTGTATTTTATACTTCATGCTTCGTTGTAAGTCATTGGATCTATTTTGGATGCCAGCTCTGGAACAAGATGGCCTAYGTTCTAGAAGAATGTATTTCTATTTAATGATAAGGAGAATCCAGATGACTATCTCAGATCCAGGCAACTGCATATAGTTAGGCAGATCCCACCCTTTCTGATATATGCATCAGGTGAATTTAAGAAAATAAGTAAAAAATGCATACACCTGCCTTATCCCAGAGACAGGCTGAGAAAAGGTGTTATTCTGTGTAAATGCTGTGGGTGAGTAGCCACAACAGTACAGGGGTGTATGTCAAAAGCAAATGTGGTGCTAGATCTTTTTTAAAAAAATCCCCTGTGTATGTTTAAATAGGCATCTAGTAGAAACCATCAAGCTGTTCTCTTGTATGCTGTTTTACATGCTAGCTTTCAAACACAAACTTCCTATTGCGTATTTTTGTACAAATGCAAAATTACATTTGTTTGGAGGCAGCAGAAAGGAGATTCTGCACGTTGGAAATGAGATTCTGAACATAAGCTTCCACACAAAAGGTCTTTAGCACAGATGGGCACATTCTAAATTTACTTTAGATGGATGRTATGTCACGTTGGAACAGACAAGGTTGAAGAGATGTCTGCAGGGACACAGCCCCAGGAAAAAGTAGGGATTAGCTTGTCAATAAAGATGTAAACAGACTGCTCTGAGGCGGCCTCATTTCTGACATTAGAAAATCTTAAATGGTTTGCTGGAAAAGAGCATGTACAAAAATTGGGGCAGGATGTCAGGGCTGAAAGCTACTCYGTTCAGTTTCTAGTAGTTGCTGTCTGTCATGCAAAAAACACCACAATATTACATGGTTAATGAAACCTGCACATAAATGAGTAACAGCAAAACTGTGAATATAATTTATTAGGGAAAGTCTACATACGATACCGTAACATGCAGGCATAGCTAAGGATAGACTTAATGAGATTGTCAGCCACATAAATACCAGGCTATACTTTTGGATGGGTGCAAGAACAGCATTTATATTTATCCTAGCTCCTAGAACTTCCATATCAAATTATTTGATATTYGTCATGTGAAACATTATAACAGACTTAACGTTAAAGAGCGTGTGTGACTAGAAGAAAGSCAGGCCTGGGTTTTGAGTGAAACACATCTGTACTTGGGGTATTTTATAAAACATTATGAGTATTAAATCATTATGAGAGTGAACATATATATGAATCATTTCTTTTATATCCTATGTGCATCTTACATTATACATACACTTACACACGCTTTAAAAATTGTGCTTATGTGCAATTGCTGCCATAGATTATTTCACAGATTTGAAAAATGGAAGAAATGAACATGAGCATAATGATCCTGTCTCAGGAAAAAAAAGGAAAAAAAGAAAAAGGAAAACAAGCTTTGTCAGAACATCTAAGTAAGGGAATATGGCTAATGTGGAAGAGTTYGTGAAGTGGTAAGTTCTACTGAGCCAATACTGGGGCATATGGAGAGAATAGAGTTAAGAGTGTGATATAAAAATAGCCATTCCCTTATTTTAAGTTACTTCTTAAGTAGCCTCCCTCTTCCTCTGCCCTTCACAGGTTTTCTTCTACTGTTACAGTATCAGAAACCACATTGCACCATATTTTACTGTTGTAACAACTACCATTAAAGAGGAGGGGGATCAAACAAAAGCCATCTAAGAACAAAACCAGTTCTAGCAGGAAAGATCAAATGTATTTGCAAGCAAGCACCTCTGACTCCATCAAGAACATCCTTCTGCTGCCCAGGAGTTGCGGCTACCAGACCTACTGAACTCATCATTCTGCCCCTGCACCAAAGTTTAACAACAGAACAGGCAGGATGTATTTTCTTGCTCCACGCCTTACTAGCGGAAAAAATAAGCCCAAATTAAAGACAACCTAGTACTTAGTCTGCCGGCACTGCTTTCTGCAGGATTCTCAACCTGTCAGTCACACTGATCCTGCCCACAAGGCCAGGAACTTACTGATGATCTACACTGCAGAAGTAGATTGTCTCCCCGAACATGAGCAACCTAACAAAAGCGCCGTTCAATTTTACGTTTTGTTTCTCCAGAGTTAGCAGTATTTTCAAAGAAATATCTAACAATAATCACCTTACCTGCATCATCTGTTGTGAGCATAGGTATTCTTCAGTGTTTGCTGTTTGATACACCTTTTCCATAACTATTGTTTTTTCCAAAGACTCTCATGCTTTCTGCAGTCTCTGGCTGTAATCTTACATTCGGTACAGTAAAAATAGAAGACACTGCAAAAAAGGGCATCAGTTCAGAAACATGAATAGTTCCCCAGAAGTTCATTTAAAAATATTAGATTATATGTATATGGCAAACGCAGAATTGAATAAATAAATACAGCTTTCGATATACTACCACCATACAAACAAGCACCATAAAAACTTTACGTAGGAATAGATTAAAGGAATAATGATGGAAGCTGAGTGATACAACCATTATTAGTTGTACACATTCTTTTAAAAAGATAAACTTTCAGGGTTTTTTTTTTGATTACTTGTACTTATGCCACTGTATAATTAATATTGTTATTTTAAAATTTTCTCTCTGATAGCATTTGGAAATAAATAAGGAAAACAGAGCAATACTTTTTAGTAATTTGACATTATGTGTTCCTTTTTCAAAACCTTCATACCCATGAAACTGAACTATTGTGTTAGACTTCTTTTAGGTTTCCTAAACATATTCAAGGTTTATATTCCAATGAAACAATATTTTCCTGACTTTTTCCTTTTCTTTTCCTTTCTTTCTCTTCTACACCTGTGCATCTTTCCTTTCCTTTCCTTTTTTTTTTTTTTTTTTTTTTTTTTTGGTGTTTAATCCCCAAATTTGCAATTCAGCAGGAGGAGTAAATTGTATAAAATATATTCCACAACGAATAACATCCACAGCACATATCTGTTGTAGTCGTATTTTGATTACAGGACTGCATATTGTGCACACACACCTCTGTTGTGCATAAAGTCCCAATGTATTTATACCTACATTTAATTAACTATCAGTAGGATGTCTTTCCAAATGTAAAATATTAACCCAGACAACTAGAATCACAAAAACTGGTAATTTCAACACACAGTAAGCATTTTCCCAGGTCTGCAAACTATATGAGTTCTTTGTTTTGTAAATATGTTTACAAGTATATCCAAGTCATACTAAATAGAAATGATTGTAGTATTTGATACTGGGACTGTCCTTTCTTGCATCTGGATTTATGCTTCATAATGATTATCTACTAGACACAGAAATAGTCTTTCTGTAACTCAGAATTTTACTGGAGGCATTTAGAAGAACCTGGCTTTAAAATATAATGATTTTTCATCTTTATTCTCCCCCCTTCAAAAGGTTTCACTGCTCCTGATGTTTAACGTTATGCAAAGACGTGTTTCTGCCAATGAATATCGCCTTATGGTTATGCTTCTGCAAATAACCTGCTGTGAGCTGATAAAAGGATTAATGCAGCCAAAATTCTTAATCTGTGAAATTACAAATTAAATTCTCATATTAAAAATACCACCCTGAGGTATTTTTTGTGGTTTTAATTCCCCTCTGGTGTTCTGCATACATTGTGCTTGTTAATGACTAGGACAAGACTGTCTCTGTTGGCAGCCTGCTGCAGAGTGATAATGTGTAGGCATTTACTTCACTGATAGAACTGGATTTAGCCACTGACTGATAAACTAAGTGGCAAGTGGGTAATAAGTCCATATTAACAGAAAAGTACTACTGCAGAATTCAGAATTCATAGACTATCAAAATCCTAGCTAGACTAAATCACACAGTTGGAAGGATTGAGATGTCAACCAAGGCAGAGTGATTTTTGTTTTCTGTTTAGTGGGAAAAGGATAAATGAACTGGCATTCTTGATGTTTCATTAGTCCTGAAGTAATGAATCTCTTTGCATCACAGTTTCAGCAAAGACAGACTTTCAACAGCAGCGTTGCTTTACATTTTATCTTTTGAATTTCCACTTTCTGAGGTACTGTGGTGAGAAAGGACAGTGCTGTGGGCTGAGGGCTAGCACAGCAGAGSAGAAACAGTGAGTTTTCTGCAGGGCAAGGACGAGGTTTACAGGTGCTGGACAAAAGCTTAGCGTTGCTGGCTAATTTTCATGTTCAGACCTACCATTTGGAGAGCAGGTTTCAGAACAGGGTTAGAAGGAAGAACTTGTATTGCCAGTGCCCAGAGCTTGCTGAAACTGTAGCTGTCWCAAGTGTTGAACCCTGAATAGCTTAACATTTAGAGTGGATTTTTTTTTTTCTTGCAACAAAAGTAAACAAACTCTGTTGTGGAATAAGCAAAATTTACAAACAAACTTGCCACAAGTGACAACTTCTACCAGCCATACTTATGCACCTCTGTGCCAGAGTTGCATTTTCAACCAGAAATTTTTGTTTCAGAGTACTGGATCTGAATATCCTGTTAACAGATGTACATTTGAAAACAGGGAACAGCTGACACTACTCTACTGAAAGAATGCTTTCCTTCACCATATTGATTTAGATCAAAATTATGAATGCTGTTCCCCCTGTGAAACCTTCAGAACACTCTCTGAATAAAAAATAACCTGAGTGATAATATTTTAGCTCTCTAGAAAAAGATGTGGAGCCATGTGATATAAATAATTTACAAATATTTAAGAAAGAATTGACAGCATATGTTGACTTTGCCAAGTCAASTGGAATGCATTTTGTTTATTAAAAAAGTAAAAGATATATGTAAATACTGAAAGTATTCTCTAATAATATCATATGCAATCCTATTCTTGCACAGTTTAATTCAACAAATCAACCAATTGTCTAATTTGTGTTTCTCAGATTTCTGAATGCCAAGTCCTTTCTTAAAGGTTACTCTTACAACAGATACAGTTTCTGTGAATCAAACCCAGCTGGATTTTTATCCTATATGCTGCAGCTAGTTAGAAAGTACTGTGTGTTACAAAGTGAAAAGCACTAAATATGTAAATTGTATTTTTTCCTTTTGCTTTATGACAATTCAGATAATTCTCTTGGCTGCGCACATAATCAAATACAAAGATAGCTAGCTACAGACTGCAGAGCAGAGATAGCAAAACAAGAATCCATTTTTCCTGTGTCAAGCTAGCTGTAATTTCAGCTACASCATCGCTCACACACAGTCTGTCTGGGGTGGGGTGTATGTCCACGAAGGTGTCTGCATGTGAGTGCTTGCACATATGCAAGTATCCATGCCTGTGTGTGTGTATAAACCAGTGCCTTTATTTTTAATGAATTTGGAGGYGGTTATACTCACTATCAGTTAACTCCCATAGCCGTGGGGGCAGATCACTGAAATACTCATGGCTCAGGGCTGCCTGTGCCGACAATCTGCTCTTTGGGAAACACTGGAGTAGTTTGGAGGCCAGATCTTCTGCATGATTCACGTAGCTCAGCCTGAAACACAAACAAGGTCACTTTGTTTTTGTTTTTCTGAAAAACCATTTATTTATTCAGTTTACTAATATCACCTATAGTTAGCAACATTGAAACAGTCTTGCTAGTCTGTCTAAGTCTCTTTTGGAGCAGTGCCAGGAAATATCTCACTCAGGCTAAGGAGACAATGAATTATTTCTGGACCAGTRTCTCAAAATCCATCCAAATTTTACATGTAGAGCATATAATAGAGCACATCACATATGCCCTACCCACTCCTCATGAGTGAGAGTGTCTTGAAAACAGTTTATTACAGTACAGATTTTTCCATTTACATTTTATTTGAACACACTGACAGGCTGAGAATTTACAGGGCTGGAAACAAATGGTTATTAGTATCTAAGAACGTGAAATACAAGCTGAAAATAACAGTAGTATTTATACAACTTTATGAGATAACAAATATTAAAACTCAACAATGTTTAACACTACATATGTATCACATTACATATAGGCACTTCTCTTTGGGGAAGTATTGACCTCTTTTTCATATACTCACATRGCAGGGTGCTGATTCTTCATCGGGTATTAATGCCACACAAACATTCATTCGTAAATGAAATATATTTATTTTCTGAGCTCCCTTAGGAATTCTGAGAAAACTCGTCGTTTTATTGCCAGCTATATGTTTATAGACATTATGTCAAAACACAACAAAAACAGATGGAATAAAAAATAAGAGATCTGGAAAGAAGAAAATAATAATCAGCAGAATGAGGCTTTGGTTGGGTATCTTATGGCCTTCTACTATGCCTTAAAAAACACCAAACTTTCTGTAATGCTCAAGCAGAAGAGAGGTGCTGTTCTTGTACACAATGATTATACTGGTATTATCAACCAGTACATAACTTTACAAATTCTAGCATGTCTTCTTCGCTCAGTAAAGTTCTCATCAGTAAAAATGCCAGAATGGTCTTGGATTTTCATTGTACTAACTTACAAATACAGATAAGACTGCGGTTCAAACACTGCAGTGTTTGAAACAGATGGTGTTATTTTCCTCTAAAATCAATAATCCTACAGCATGGTTCATGCAAATTCTCATTCTCYATCAGCTCAAGATGGCTTTCTGCAATACCACTGAAGAAAGATGTATGAAACAGAGTTATTCTTTCATTTTCTGGCACTTAAGGTAGGGCTGACAATGGCATAATTTATAAGCATCAGTCAGCAGTGTGTGCACTGCTGAAAACTATGTCCAACAATAGAGAAAAAAAACACTGAAAATATGTAATGAAAACAAACAAAAATGTTAAGCCAGTGAAAACTTAAAATTCACCAGTGTCATAGACACACCTTTTCACCCATGTCCATACTGCATTTGGTGTGACTCGGCAGCATCTATTCCATTTTAAAAGTCAAAAGCATCTCTGCAGACTTTCTTCCTAAGATTTTTCAATGCAGGAGCAAAAACAAGTGCTGAGTATACTAAATTAYGTGCTGGTATGTGGATGACATGCTATTTTTGGTGGTCCAAAAATATACCACTGGCTGTCTATTGAATCTCTAGTCCCGTGTTCAGGATAGCAATTTTTGAATGCCATGCCTCTCTGATCTGCCTGTCTTGGCAACAGAGATATGTCCAGAAATTATCCAGGGATCAACAATTGCCTGAACCATTGACCACTCTGAGCCATTATTTCTCATCAGTCATAATCTTACAGAATTCCCAGGATTTGGGTTGGATATTGCTACTCTCAAAACAATTCTAGTATTTCTGTTGGGTAGCATTTCTGTTGGGTAGCRTTTTTCTGTCTTCTGAAAATTCATTTCCAATTAATGATAAAATACAAGATATTGAATGAAACAGTCAGTCTGTAAACTACACTGTACAAAAGAACTGATTCTAAATTTCTTATGCTATCACATTATGGATTTTTTTTCATTCAGCTTTTGTAAAAATTACATGAAAACTTCATTACAGAACACAGCAAACTATCAGGAGAAAAGGCAATGCATAACTAAGAAAAGGAAAAGGAAGGCAAAATACCCAGGGAAAACTTGGATTTAATTCTTCCACACATCTAAAATTCCCAAGGATCAGTGATTTTATTGAGTCAATGAGGCCTGTCTTGTGTCCTAATCCCACCTGTGCCAATTATTTGCTGAGAGGTCTTGGAAAATCATTTCACTAAGTTTTTACTTCCCCACAGAGGTAGTTGCATCCCTTTTTAGGAGCCAACACAAACATGTTCTATCTTAAATGAAAGCTCCTGTTAAGTTAGAAAAATGAGGCCGCTAATTTAAGCAGTGAAATATTATCCTGCAATGTAAGAAGAAGAATTGCACCATTCATCAACTGTTGCACAGATACAGTGAAGATGCTGATTAAGTGAGCCAAAACATTAGGAAAAAAAACATTAAAACATTAATGAATTCCAAACCATAGTTAAAATTATGTGTGATGACATTCCAGTATCCTGGTGCTTTCRAATACAGTAGTGCCCAAATTGTGACTGCCTAAATGGTCAGTATGTCTGGTACACTGGGAAGATGACTTTAGTAAGAAGGAAATATCAGGTGTACTAATAAATTGAAAATATTTTAAATGGCAGCAGTTTAAAATGTCAAAGTTAACTTCCCAATACAGAAATCAAAAAGATACTAGCTCACTGAGAAGATAAATCAAGAATTAAAAACAAATATTAAATAAACAGCAGATTAGACATGTAAAGTAATAACTATATATATATATATATATATGGGGCTGCAATATGACCACATCTACTGATGAAGTAATTTTGAATAAATCAGTAAAGAACAGAACCAGTTCTAAAATTAGTAAATAAAAAATACATTACATTCATTGCACAAACTATCTGAAAAATTAGTTCTATCAGCTATAATATTAACATTTAATTGCTCTTATAACATGTAGAATAGTTTTGGGAGGATTAGTTGTTTATGTAGTGCTTTGAAGATTCCAGTTGCTGCATTACTAGCCTTGTTAAGTTCCCAAGTGTTTATAGATTTTAAAGTCAAAAGGGACCRTAATGGTCAAGTCTGACATCTTCTGTAATACTGACCAAAGAAGGTCATCCAAGTAAATCAAATTTGCAAAAACTCTTCCCTAAAGACCTATCTGCTGCTAAGGGCATTCCTGGAAATTAGAGGACTTTGCAGAAGAAATATGCCTGTGCCATCTTGAGGTTGTCAGTCTTGCAGCTGATGCTTTAGTGGAATGTGTGACCAGTTTTGCCCCTTTGCTTAAGGACAAGCTATTCTTTTATTTATGAAAAATGTACAGYATGATCATGTATTGAAATACACCTACTATATCAGAATTGTCTGGAGAAATCCATTTAGTGCATAACCTTGGCCGTTTGGAAAATTTTGGGGTTTTTTTCTTTCCTTTTTGTTTTCTTGACCATTAGCCTCTTCAAAATCTCCTGAAAATACGAATGATTTGTCTGACACAAGTTTGAAACATGATTCCTCAAAAGGGACAAAGGCGGAGTTTTGTGACGGGGTTCAGTAGCTAAGTATCTAATACAGAAAAGTTCACAGAAAGAACTAAGGGGAAGAAAGATTTGATTTTTAAACACACCTCCTTCAGGATGGTGACAGGATGGAATTTCATACAATATGGCTTTGTGTCTAAAACATAATAGCTTGTTTTGTCTCCCAGCAGTTGGGCCATATAGTGACTTGGCACGCATGATATGGCAAGTCTCAATATTCACGCTTCRCTTGCTGTCACACTCATCACCGAGGAATAGTTACTGGTCATGACAGCCTACATACTGGCAGAAAAGGTGCTGCACACCAAAATACAGAGAAACCTTTGGCAAGGAACACTAAATAATGCCTAGTACTGTTAGAAGAAATACTGTGAATATTTCTTACAAGCATACTTTGATGACATTTGCAAAAATACATTGATTTTCAGTTTAATCTCGAAAAATATATACTGCTTTTGCTGAACAAGATCGCTGTATTAACCTATCTCATATATTAAACATATATGAATCTGACTCAACTTGAACAGTTGTAAATCTCATTGGATTACAAGAATTTGATTTAATTTCAGAAAACAGGCTTAAATGTCTTTCTGCTGCAAGGGAAGGTCAGTATTTGGTCAAGCAGAACATGACTAAGATCACTGAAGTTTGGTTTAAACTTTTGAGGGGAAAAAAAAAGTTTGGAGCATGTGCAGTGAACTTCTGAACTTGGGGCGATTTGCTTTTAAATGCAGTGAAGAATGCAGCTCAAATTCMCATTAATAATTAAGACAAATGGGCATTAAAATAAATGGAGATAATATGCTTTCCCTATACTCCAAACAGCAAGAGGTAAATACTTCCCAAAGCAAAAATCATTTACTGGGCATATTTTCCATTTCAAGGTGTAATTCTCACAGCATATCATTAATTCATTTCTCTTGACTGCAGTTTACAGCATGGCCTAAAGGAGTGAGGCACCTAATTCCCTTCAGAAATCTCAGCTCTGCTTCTTTATTCTAGGTAATCCCTTGCAACCTGCAGTGCTGAAAGACAAAACAACAGTTAACTAGAATAACGTATCGTTTAGCAGTGTTTAAAGTTTAATGACATAAAAGAATAAAAGGAAAAGTTCCCTGCACTGGTGTGAATTGGGGAATTTGCACTGAGCCTGGAAAGTTGGCCTCACAGAAAGACTATCCACGGCCATCCTCTCTAGGTAACTAAATGGCTTCTGCACAGTCCATCACTATTTAACCTATTAACCTATTAATCACTATCACAGCCACAAGGGCCATATTCCACTTTCAGGATTTTCCTCCAAGTCTGTTTGTGGCTGGCTTGAGTCTTCCTACCTTGTCCTAGGCCTTGTTTAGGCCTCTACTGAGTGCTGACAAAAACTGTGCAACGTTGCTTATTAAAGTAAGTGCTTTCTTTGCAAAGCCATTTGCGCTTCCAACCGGCTGATCTGGATTTGCCTTTTGGAGCCTGGACTGTTTTGTGTCTCTAAAGATGTGTATG